TGGAAATGCAAGGGCTATATAAACTTTTCTAACTTTTTTAAAAAATGAAATTTTTTGTAGTTTTGTTGTTTCAAAAAGTGAAAGTTGAAGTTTACTGGAAGCAGCTGTTTTCAGTACACGTGACCTGCATTCGACAGTGCTGATTTTTCTCTAAACTTTGTTATGAAAAAACAACGGAGTTTAATTGTACAGTTCTTATGTTTAAGATTTCACAGGAGCATAAGCCACAACAGAAGCGTCAAATGGCGTCAAAACCGTGAGCCTATAAATAATAAATTCGTGCAATGAAGAAGAATAAAAATATTTTTCACTTTTTGTTTTAAAAATTTGAACGTGTATTTATAAAATTTTTACCAGCATTAAAATCTCAAGTTTGAGAGTTTCAAAAATTTACAGCGGTGGACTTTTTGGAAGGCAAAATGGCAAAAACAGTAGACGATGAAAAAACTTTTTTTAAAACTAGTCAAAACTTGGATTTATGCTGCAATATTGATAAACAAATTTTTATAAAGTGAATAGAATGGAAATTTTAGTACAAGAAATGGAGTTTGGCATATTTGGTTACCTTGAACAAATCGATCTGTTGATCATCTGGCCTACTGCAATAAAATTTTGTCAAAAACAATAACAAAATTTCTTACAAAAACCGAAAATATGGAGTAATAATGAATCACCGTATTAAATATCTTTACGGGGTCAGGGCGTTATTTAATCTCTACCTTTCTTCTTGCCTTGTATATGTACAAAACCGATCCACATCATTTCGCAAACTAATTTCTTTTCAACTAATACCTCAGATTTTTCTTTAAATTTTCCTTATTGGTACAGCCAGTTATGAGAATTGCCAAATCAAAAAAAGGATCTGAAAAAGTAATTTCTCTGCCAAAATACCAACAAGAAAAAATTTCTTTTCACAAATATTTTTCAGTTTATAGTTCTTGAAAGTTAACAAACAGTTACACAAGAAATGAATACTGAAGCAATTTTTTTGGAGAATATATATGGATCATTAGGTCTTTTGAAATGCATCACGTGTGAGATTTTATGCTTTGCAGATTAGTAAAATTAAAATCTGGTTGTTGACGAGGACACTAGTTGTGCTGCGGTAATCTAAAATGTGATCATAAAAATTGTTTCGAAAAGCAACATTCTGATGCTACACTATGAGAAAATCGAATCACCAGCTCAAATAACTTCCAAAAAGGTGCTTCTCAAATAAGATGGCTCTACCTCACTGCTTAATCTTGAAGATATAAAAACATTACATTTGGTGCTGTTTTTACAGCTCCATTTCACTTGTCGCTAAACAGTTTGTCCTTCCACCAGGTCACTCCTAACTTATAAATTTAAACCAATTTTTGCAGCGGAATGTTCAGTAGAGTTTTTTATGATTCGCTTCTTTTGACAACACTTCTTGCATACTTATTTTTGAGTGTATATAACTGCTTGCTTCCTGCGTATAGCCGGCACTTTCAATTTATTTAGTGAACCAAGGTTTAAAAAGGTTTGAAAATCGCTCTTCCAGGTACTTTGTTTGGTTTTATAAACTTGCAGTTTGGCTTCACTGGGAAACTAGACTCAGAAAAAAACTTCTGATGAGCGTGCTCATTGAAATGCAATACCACGGGGCTGGAAACGTCAGCGATCTGTAGATATGTTGTTTGTTACCGACGCGGCTGACAGTTGTCTTCTTTTGCTCAATTGCTTCTTGAGTCTTATCAGTCAGTGTGAGTGATACCAATTTCTGTAACCCTCTTTAACTACATTAGAGCTCTACAAGCTATTGAAAAATTTTCACTGAAATGCGGTAAAGATTGTCTTTGGTTTTTTTTTTTTTTTGTAAAATTTGCTGCTTCATCGATATCATATGTATTTCTTAATTGTTTGTGTAAAGTTTCTTTTGCCAAAAATTTGTAGGCATTGAACTGTCATCTACTGAGACTCTCCACTGAAAATGCATTCTCATCGCACGGTAACCCGTCTTCTCATTAAGCTGATAACATGTTTTTAAAAAATAATTCCAGTACTACCAAAACTAAGAAGCAGTAAAGTTTGAGCATTTTTAAGCTAAAAACTAATCCGTGCTGATTGCTGTCAGTTAGAAACTAATTTGCTGTGAGAACCTAATGAGAATGGTGACTAACGTTCCAAAGAATTTCTTCGAAATTTGATGCTACTATGCACACATTTTTTTTACAGGATTCTAATCATGTGTGGTCGAAAATGAACAAATAGGTGAATTAGAACAAAATTTTATTGAAACATTTTATTTTTTTGTGCCTTTTTTTTTTTTATTCATCATTACATCCACATTTATCGACCTGAATCTTAAATTAATAAATTCCAGTTAAGATTATTAGGGCCAAGAACAACAATGGAGTGTTTCAGTAGTAATACTGATAACTGATGTAACAACAGTGACGTTGAAGGTTCAACTGGCAGGTGCTGCATAGCCTAGACTAGACGAAATGGGAAAAAATTTAAAGCTGTCAAGTCGCTTCAGCGATTCGCTGGGATAAATGGAGTCCAAATAATATTGTTAAAATCAATAGGAGATATTGAAACATCAGGAGCTGCTTTTGAAAAGCCGGCTGAGTTACTACTAGAACGTCTAATACCGTTAAAAGAATCATGAGAAGCGCGACCGCCACTAGCTGTAATGTTTCCACAGATCTTTAGTAGATCTGTCTATCTCAGGCACGAACAAAAAATCGTTTCATGCACCTCCCTCATTTAAGCATAATTTGTCAGTGAACT